TTTAGAAATAATCATTTAGGAAGAAATTATGTCATTGGGATTACTTATAGGAATATTCACAATAAAATATCTAGGCAAAAATAATAATTCCACTGAACAATTCTGCTTTGCACAGAATCCAGACATACAGGTATATCACTCGTCATAAACACAGAAAGGTGGGAGAATCAAAGTCAAAAGGAAAGGTTTTTAAAGATTTCATGGTTTGATCCAAGAGTGGTAAAGAGGATTTACTGGAATTCTTAATAGATAAATAGTTACACTTTGATATTAGGCTATAACTTGGCATATAAAGACTCAAACAGAAACGTAATTATTTTTTAGATCAGTTTTTGGGAAAGGTTTAGTTCATTTTTAACTTAAACAGTTGTAAGAAAAAATTAAGTTTGATGGTTTGCAAAATTTTCCTATGCTTATATAACAAAACTTTGATATTAAAAATACACATTTTCTAGCAGCTAAATCATGTTGAAGATTAAAACATCACACACTCCAGAATTTCTGTACCAGAGCCACAGCTGAGGATCTGCATGTATCTCATCATACTGACAGTACTAAACATAGTTAGTATGGGGTTTGTTTTGTTGTGCTTTTTAAAAAATACTTCCAGTTGTTTTAACTAATAGATTTCCCAAATTTTTTAGAACCCTAAAACTTAGGGGTTTGTCGCATTTTTCAAAAACAAGTGACATCAAAAAAAACTCATTACACGTGAACCTTAAATCTGGAAGAGCAGAGCGTGAGCTTTGGAAGAAAAGGCAGATAACCATGCCAATTTGTATGAAAAAAGGGTCAAATGAATTAGTGCATTAAAAGTAAGATTCTCTCCATTCTGTCTTTTCCCACTGCCAGACAGACCTCTTTCAGCCAAGGCCCAAAGGTGGGATGCAATGTGTGACAAATTCAGAACAACTTCTGTAGCCCCAATATCACGACTCATTATATTGTGTAAAATATGTCCAATAGTAGAAGTGAGTGAGTGTCAGTGTGTGTGAAAAAAGAGTGTAGCATGGGCTAAATGCAGTGACCTTCCTTGTAATGTGAAAAGTTTGAAAACTATGTCAACAAGCTTCAACAACACTCCTTACAATCAGAGCAAATGGAGAAGCTCAGTGGGATAGTAGTCACAGATTTTCAAAATCAAAAAGCAGATGTTTGATTGATTTAAGACATAGTAGTTGCAGTTCTTAGATAAATATGTTGACATAAAACTGATTTTATTTTGAAGAATCATCTTTTATTTCCTCCTCTTTTTTAGCACTATCATTGTTACTCTGTTAGAAGTCATTATCAAAACATCTTTGTCTGACAGTAGGAACTGGGAATAATTAGCTTTAGTCCAGTTCAGTCCAGTGACTCTGGTGCATTGACTTAAGACCTGACCATTGTTGACTAATTAATTAAAAGGATCCTGTATCAGATGCAAGTGTTGTGATTGTTTTTAACACCCTACAGTAGTCTTAGTCAGAAAAAATATTCTAGTTTGCTATTCTCTGCATGGTTTAGTTCTGGTATTCTCCATCTTTGAAGATGGACAACTGTGTTGTTAATTCTTTGTCTTTCCAGCCAAAATATTGTTTAGAAATTAATTAGTAAGTTCGCACCTCAATGAGATACTAATTCAGAGATACTGAGACTATGCAGTATCTGATAAACCTGTGATTCAAAAAGGCTGGAACAGTTATCAACATCTATTTTTTTCCTTCCTTTCTCCCTCTCCTCTGCTTTCCCATTCCTAGAATGTTTATGTATTCCATGTTCTGTTCCACCAAACATTCCAGAATTGCATCTACATAGACACCACCCAGAGAGCATTCCAAAATACAGATCTGCAGCATATGCCTGTTTTGTCCCCCAGTGTTCCAAAGAAAGACTGACAGAATTTAGCAACTCTTGCAGGAAATTGTTCCATTTGAAGTTTCACTTGATCTTAGCTGACAGTTTTCAGGCAGAAGCAAATTACATTGCTCTCAGTACAGATTGTATGAGCTCTCATTGCAATGGGAGGAAAGGACTAAGGCTCATTCTTCCTTTGTCCCTGATTTTTACCATTCCTAAGTGGAGTTTGTGGGTTTTAACTGCAGGGCCTCTCAGTAAATCCAGCCAATGTCTTCTTAGGCTAAGTCAATCTGGGAAGTTGTGTTAGACCTTGTCATACCCTCCTTATCATTCAGCTGCCATGTTTCCCTCTATTATAGTCATAGTTAACTATGTTAACTATGTATGTTAACATAGTAACTAGCTGTTACTAGGAGAAGACATAAAAAGGTGTCACATAAACTTCTGACCACGGCTTAAAGATTGACAGAAGTATCACTAGAGATTGTATTTCTTCTACCAGTTCTCATAACTAGGGCTTTGGCTCATACTGACATGTATCTAGTCATAGCTGGTGACATTTGTTTATGTAATGTGCTTTTTTCTTCTAGTAAATGAGGAGATTTATCGTCACGCTATACTAAATTCCATATCACAGCAAGTAGCAATGGACAACCAAAATAATCTCATTGGAAAGCTGATGGTGAAGGGTTATTTTGCCAAAAAGTTAAATTCATGACTTAATCACACAAACAGCATTATATAAAATGAATAAAATTCGAGAGGGAAATTTTCATCCAAAAATAGTAGTGTCACTAAAAAACATTCCGGGTTTGTTCAGCATCATCAAACCATTAATTCTAGGTGATACTTTCAATGACACTCCCTCAGAGGAACAACATTAGACATTCACTTGTATGATCTTCACCTTGTATGAAGAGAATGAATAAAAAATGAAGTTCTTCACTGTGAACTATTCCCTGACTAGCTATTTTCATTTAAAATACTGTTTATTTTACTTTGACAATCTGAAGGTTAAATTAACTCTGAGTTTTCTGTTCTTCTACTGTGAAGCTAGTGGGAAGACTCAGTGCATACTGCTGCCTCTTAGGATGGTAAAGGAAGCGATAACATACAGCCCAAATGATAATACTCTTAACACTATTGAAAGTCTAAGTCATAGATTCATCAAAAACTTTCTGACCAGTGATACTTTGTTCTGTCAAGAACATTCAAGATCTTGATTACTAACACAGAGGCATGGGAAATAAAAATGAATTAAGATACTGTTTCAAAACAAACATTTTCAGGGATGTTTCCTATTCGTTCCACCCCACATGGCTACGTACCTCCAGTAGAGATACTGTTCCTGGGCCAGAGATGGAAAGGATTTAGGTTCTTGTACATATTTAAGGATTTGATCCCTATACTGGATTTGCTACCACTGCCTAAACAGGAGAGAAGGTTTTGATCACTCTGCCTGTGAAAAAAGCATAAGTGTATTGGTCATGCATATCCCTTTGCCCTTCTTAATAACAACCTTTAAGTAAAATTTTGGACATACTCTGCATTATAGATTTTGTAATTGCCTTCTCCCTATCATTAGTGAATATTAACTGAATTCACACGGAAGGAGAGTTTTCTAAAAAATGATGATCAGTCTTTTAGCTGAGGTTACCAGAATCTCTGTGGGAATAGCACGTGTCACTGCAGTCATGTCACAAAATACATACACTGCACTGGGAAACTACACTGAGAGAACCATACCAGCTTTTTCTAGAATAAACCTGTAAAGCAGACTGGGACTGGAGATATGTGCTACTAGCTCATACAGAAATGAGTTCAGAGCCTTTTGAATTATTTGTTCCACACTCTAGCTGATAAACCACAGCCTATTTATTACACTATTTATGCCTCATTGTTCAAAATTCACTTGCCTATCATGAAAGGCTGCTACATTGTTAAAAAACCGTAAATCTTAAATACGCAAAGTCCTAGCAACTCTATGTAGAATATCTTTTAAAAGTATATCTACAGTTGGATATTCAGACTGACTACTTGTCTTAATTTATGCAAATATAGCCTATAGCTAAAAGCTTTGTATATTTGTTTCCCTGTGGTATTAGTATTCAAAAAAATAGGACATTCTTTCAAGGGCATTTTATAAACACAGAACTATAATTTATATAGCAAATTAAAGCTCATACAAAATGTGTGCACTGAGCTACAGATTAACATATTTAATTTTAGTATTACCTGCAAACCTATTTTTTTCCATGCACTGCTCTAATTAGCCATATAAAATCAAGTCAGTATGTTGTAAGCAATTATTTTAGTGGGAGTAGAAAGAGAATCTGAATTAAATATATGGCAAGAGATAATATCTTATGGAAATTAATATACTCATTTGTGTCAAGAAAAATGTGTTCTAGCTAAATTTTATAAGATAGTTTGGAGTTCAAACATATGACTCATGTAGAAGTTGTAGTTTTATAGTTATTAAGATGTTAGACTGCGGATCTGCTTTTAAGTTCCTTATTAATGTGCCAGTGCTCATTCTTTGATATCTACAGATTGTCAGTAACTACTGACATTTCATATTGTGAAATTCCTCCTATTATGAATATTCACTCCCCCTACAGTCAAATGTGCAAACTGTTAGTAATTCTGTATGTTAAAAGAAGGTTTTCTTCCATCATTTAAATATATATATCATACTTGGCTCTTCATATTTTTATTTTTATAACTATTTATTTAAGAGAATTAAATTATGTTGAAAATCAAAATGTAATTTTTCTTTCATTGAAATGGAAAAGGAATCATATAAACAGTAATTTTTTCTTCCCCATTTTACCCTCAAAAAGTATGAAAGCTAAATATGAAAATTCTGTTTAAGGAATGAGAAAACAAAAAGTGATCCATTGTGATAGTAAACTTCAGCTGTTTCCTCCTAATACAGTTTCCAATTTTGATGGGATTCAGACAGCAGAAACCATTTTCTAGCAGTAAGAGCATTTAGCTGATCAAGTTGTTTAATTCAGAATTTTACACTCAATTTTAATTGTAGAGTCTGCAATACGTGCCATAGTTAAGTTTCTTTTGTAAGAAGGATAACAGACCCAGCCAATTCCTCCTACTTCTTGCTCATGATCTCAGAATATCCAGAAAAGATCAATACTAACCACATGGAAGTCTGATGACTGCATAACGATCTTGTGGCCTTAAAGCAACTCTTCCCCATTTCTTGGCACAGAAGTTGCTGACTGACATAGCTGCTCTATACCTCCACTCTGCCTTGGGAGAATGATAACATAGAATTCTATTGCTTGGAAGGGCCTCCCTAAGAAAGCAAGCAGAAAATAAAGTCATTTAGAAGAGATACAAAAAATGGAATTATATTTTTGCCTTCTTACCTCCAGCATCATATAACAGAAGCTAATGCACAAGAAACTTCCTGGATCCAGAACTGTGAAGGAAAGTTTTCCTGTCTCATGAAAATTCAAAACTTTCATATGATTTATTGTTTCATATCTGAACAAATCAGTGGGCACTACAAAAATACAGTGTACAGAGGCATATCCTAGTTCTTTCTTTAGCCTTCTCTCACATCCCAGCTGAGCATCCTGGCCCCTTGAAGTATGAGGTAAGTTGTTCTCAAACTTCCCACTGAAGCCTTTTCATCTTCCATAAACAAAAAATTTTCATTTTATGAACCTTTACCTGGACAGAACTACTGACCATTCTTAAGCAGCTGTATTTTATACATATATATAAAAACACATGTATACACACACATACACATACTCCTATGAAACAGCTGGATTTGGACAAATCATCATCTCTAGTGAAACTCATTCTGTTTTACAGATCCAAAATAATTTCCTCCAACTATAGGAGGAATAATTTCCAATCTTCTATATTACAGTGTACAAGTAAAAGGAGTGTGAAAAAAATATTTTTATTTAAAACTTTCCTTAACATTGTAGGACAAATTGGCAACATGGCCTCAACCCAGACTGTAAAAATATGTGGAAGAACTTCAAACGTGACAGCTAAACCTTGCACTCAACATAAAGTGCAGTAGGAGTGACAGAAAAAGTGGCAGACAAATTAAAGAGCTACCTCTGTTTAAGCAATTTTTTTGTGACAGCATTTTAAAAGTTTGCTGGGCAATTACTCTAAAATGACAGCGTACTGCTGAGCAGGTAGTGCACTGAGAACATAAAAGAACTTGTCAATAGTTATTTCAATAGGCACTTTCAAACTCACGGGAGCTTTAGTATACATCATTACATCATTAAAATATTAAATTATTTCAGCTATCACAGATGTAAAATTGTTGCTGCACCTATTTTGCTAATTAACTCTGACATTTATGCTTATGCTTATGCATAAATGTTACATATTTCAGAGATGGTTCATTTTTACATGCTAGTTACTAGTCTGTGGATTGAATCAACATGCTTGTAGTATCAGAATCAGTTGCTGTACCGAAATACAGCAAACTTTTGGGTCACTGATGCGGTCTTGCATTTAATTTTTCTTCCTCACCTTCTTCAACTATCTAAGTCCACCTGTTGGGGTGATGTAAAGAAATTATTTCCATGTAGCATTTTAAAATCATGTTCATTCTGTTGTACCAGAAATTATTGCAAGTATCAGTTGTGATTTTCTTTCAAAATAAAACAGTTAGCTTACAAAGCAAATACAAATATGGTCATGTAACAGAAAATACTCAAGTAATATTACTAAAGAAATATTTTGCATCTGCTTTATATTACATAACTTCTGTGTGCTTTTTTGTACATATTTACTCAATATTAATAACAGATCATTTTGGAACATAACCTTGTTTTAGCATTTTAAAGATTCTCTGCATATTTCAGTAAAAATGGAATAGGTTTTCTCTAGGAAAACATTCTCCTCTTATGAGTGTGGCCAAATTTCCAATAGACATTTTTATCAGTGAATTAACTTCTCCCTAGTTACAACAGTCCAATTGGAGTGTCAAAGAATGACTTGTAACACATGGGCTAAACCTGCATTTAGGCAAAACTCCCATCAAAATAAATGGGAATCTCTCCTACAGTTCTGTTTCTGAACATGCCTACACATATGCCAAACTTCAGGCTTAAGTAGCCCTATTGAAGTCCACAGGACCACATGCCTAGAATTAATCCCATATAAATTTGTGGGCTTAAAGCCTAAAGAGGGAGTCTAAAACTGAGCCTTACAGGAACAATGGCTCAGAGATTCTAAAAGGAACTGTTTAGGAAAACTTACATTCAGACTGCAATGCCTAACTCCTCTAGTCTCCTTTGAAAAATCTCTTCGTTTGCTCCAGTTATTTCCTGAGTAGTTCAAGGCTCCTGTGTGACAGGCAAAAAAGAGAAAAGATACCCTCTCTGCTTTAGCTACCTCCAGGATTCATGCAGGATATGAATAGTTTTGATCCAGATCAAGCTCTTCACTTTATCAACTGGCATAAATATCTAATATGATAATGCTAGACCTGTATTCATTAGTGCTTTAGTCAATGGGGACATGTTTGTAATGCTAAGACACTGTCATTTAGTGGGGAAAGATTATTTAGTGACAGGTAAATTATTGCTATATCTCATTAGGAATGTTATGTTCTTGTGCTGAGCTAAGACATACCAATTGCAAAGAGGTAATCATCATAATAGCATCAAGATGTTGCTATATTTGGATATGATTTGAGCTCACCACTGGATCAGCCCATTGTCACCTACCAGCCTGGAGTACAGGGAAGATGCTCTACAGTGACTCAGGCACAGAGGAAAAATACAGACCCTACTATGACCACCTACTAGATGTATTTAGCAATTTGTTTCTAGAAGCCTGTGATTTTAAAACTGAAGGGTGGAATATTCTGAAAGTTTCTGAACCTGCAAGGAAAGGTATCTGATTTATTCAGCAAAGCAATCTGTCTACAGTATAGTATTCTTATTTTGTGATAGCTGGTATCTGACAAAATTATACAAGTCTGCAAGCCTGAATCAGTTATACTAGATCATTTTGCTGGGTTCCAGTAGTAGAAAGGGATATGATATCCATTTGCACTCCTTTTACTGCTAGCCAGCTCAGTCAGTCTTTGTTTAATAAAATACTGTACCCTCCTAAGGAAGATGTCAGATGTAGCAGAATTGTCTCTGACAAACAAAAGTGCCACAAAGGGTTCAAAGACTCCTACATTTGATGAAATTCTCTCTCACAGTAGGAGGTGTAAAGATCTAATATACAGAAATTCGGAAAAATTTCTTCTCCATTTTCTTACTGTAATGGGAGTTCTTCAGGTATGAATGGTTAGAAGGTGTTTCTAAGTAGATTCCAAGGCAGTGCTATGTGCCAGAGAGTATCTCTCGTGTTTAATCTTACTCATAGAACTGCAAGTTCATTTGTTACATTAAAAAACTGGGTTTTCATCCACCCCCTGGATGCCCTTCAAAGTCCCACAGACATGGTGACACAGTGTTGTGCAGTGATCCCCAGGACTTCCCAGGTCACCAAGAAAGGAAGAAACATGTTCTTTTCTTGACAAGTCTACTGACTTGGGCAGTTCTGAAAGTTGGTCTCCTACACAACAAATATCCCAATACATACAGCTCAGTAAGAGCGTTTTCCTACACTCAGAAGAGAACAAGCCCTTTGGTTACACTGGATCCAACGACAGGTGAATCATTTCTTTCCTGGAGACCTAGGCACAGTTTTCTTCATTTCTGAATGACCAGGCACAGTCTGGCTCCAAACAGATTGCATTAAATTTTAATAATTGGACTAATCTAAACAACTTTTGTTTTAGACTAATGATGTGCATGGCTTGCATCTGCAAATACTTCTCTATATATGCTTATATTTTAATTAGATAAATTAAAGTTTTACGTTGTTATTAATCTGCAAATTATGTTTTAATTCACCTGTCACATATTTAGCAATATCTAATGATCAAACAGAAATTTTAAGATTTTAAAATTACAAAGAGAATTGCCATTTACTAATGCATCCAGCAATCATTCAGCTTCACAGCTGAGTTATGGTATTCCAAGCTTTTTGGCTATGTCCTACTCTTCCTCCCGTAACCAATCAGATCTAACTAAAGATCCTTGCTTGTTATTGTTTTAGGCTTTCTCTTCCCTCAGCAAACCTGTGGAGAGTTAATCACAAAGTATAATGAAGAAATTAGTAATGAACAGCATTACTAACATGGTCCAAAGTATTTCTACACCACTATCAAAACAGTTGCCCATGGTGAAAAAGAGAAGCCTACTGCCATTATAAAAGGAAAACAGCATCAAACAGCATTTCCTTTTCCTTGAATATTTCCTCAGAAGTAGGAAAGAAAAAAAATGAAAGAACTGAAGAAATTGCATTCTTCTTCTAAAGAAGAAAATATTTAAAATATTTTAAAGTCTATACAAATCTCCCATTAAGGGAATCTAGAAATCAGAAGAATGTGTTCCCATTGGACCTGCACAGAAATTTCAGTGCAATTATTAATACTTTCCAATTAATTTCTGGTATCCTTTATCCCATAAAAGCAATGCTGAACACCAGTTCTAAGAACCAAAACTTTCCTTAGATCGGGAGCTCTTCAAAATCCTGTGCTTATAAATGCCAGCTGTTTCTCTCGTACAGAATCAGCTGTGTCAGTACCAGCAAGGTACCAGCAAGGAAGTCTTAGAAGTAACTCTCCTTGATGCTGGGGAGAAATGATAGTTCCATCTGACCTGAAGTGATCCTGAACATCACCTGAGAGTTCAGTTGATCTTACAAGCAATTCTCTATCCCCCTGCTCTCCTGACTGTACCAGTCTCATATGGGATTTGTTGGATCCATCTTGAAGAAGACAGAAACTTGAGACATCAGACTTTAGATCAGAAATACTAACAATATTTCCTCTTGTTGCGCAGCTAAAATAAACCATAAGTAACATCAATACTTCTAGTATCAGGCATTCTAAATGCAACTAAAATTTCCCATAAAAAGGAAGTCAGTTTTTTCACCCTGATTTACTGCACTGACAGAGGAACCCCTCTTGATTTACATTACCTTATAAGAACGAAAAATTGCTATTACATATGCCAAAATGTTACCTAATAAATTTTTTAGAATTAGAGATTACACCAAAAATATTTTCAATTAAATCTAAAAACAGAGAAGCAAATTTAAGCCTCCAATTCATTAAGGGCTAAAATTTCAAGGCTGAAGGTCATATGTCACTTCTGGGGGGGATTACAAACAAATCTAAATGTTTCACCATGATTTTCGCATCATAGGAAAATGTGACAGTACTAATAATACATGGTATGATATAC